GGTGGTTGTTTTAGCCGGACATGAATGATTAATCAGCATTATCGCTGTTTCAGTGCCCCGGCTGCCAGCTCGCATCCCACCCCTTTAAAGCCGACCCCTGTAAGACACATATCCATTCAAGGGCTCTGGCTCTTTGGCTCTGACAGAAATGGAGCTCTGAGCTCCAGCGGCCTGATTTCTGACGCACAGCTCATCCCGGATGAGACAGGGGGAAGACAGAGGAGGGCAGTGACAGGCTCGGGGAGGAAAACCAGGCGTTTGCAGGCTGCCAGAGTCCTCTCGTCATTCCAGAGCTGCTGATGAGGCATTCGCTGACATTCATGCTCACCAGACAAACACAACACTCTGATCCGCCAGCTCAGAGCTGCCGGAGCAGGAAACCCGTCTGATTAACACATGTGATTCCCTGCATGCCTCCAATGATTCCTTTATCCAATTGTAAGGGTTGGAAACGGTTAACCGAGTCCTAATTATGTCTCATGTTCTTTAAAAGCTACATACACAAACCATCTGGTCAAAAGTTATCTGTTAAGATTCAGAAAATCAAAGCTGTTGCTTAGCTTACATGTTGATAACTCATATTTACCTCATAAAACCAATCAGGGCTGTTGTAGGGGATTTTGGGGAGGTTTAATTCCTTTATACATGTCCAGGGAGATTTTTTTTCCGCTAACTTCGCTGTTCTGTTTAGAAATATCTCTGGCTCATCCCTTCAGTTATGCACGTTTACGCTTAATGTTTCGTTGGTCAGAGTAACATGAACAACACTGAACTAAAAAGAGGAAAAACAACACATATCAAAGATAATAATCATAATCAAAGCTAGTTCGAGTCAGCAAAATCTAAAACACCCACTTTGATGGAAATTGGAGAAAAACTAAATATGTCAAAAACATATTTTTACCATCCTGCAATGATTATGGAAGAAAAGTACTTTCAGATAAATTAGAAAGTAAAACCAAAACAAGCTGGTCCACCCTAGCTAGATACAACTAGCTAGAAATATAACATCAGCTAAAGCTATCAGCTACTCCTTTTCCTTCTTTTTGACCAAAAGTAAATACTGTTGTCCCGGCCAACAGTATTTACAACTCAAAATGTCTTAGGAGCCAAAAAATAAAGCTTGTCAATCTATTTATTTGTGAAAACATTAAGCTAATTATGCTAAACCCCAGCTAGCTACCATAGCAACGAGCCACTAACGTCTGATCTCTAAAGTGACTCAATCTAATCAATTATTACTGTATTTTGGCCACAGCATACACATGATGGATCATCTCATTAGCTTTATTAGTATCACTGTCCCTATGGGCTTCTTTTCATTTGCTTTTAAGCTACTCTTGTGTGCAATTTGTCTGAAAGGTTACTCAGTAAATGTAATGCATTTCTACCCAGCTCTGATAAAACTCAGTATATTATATCTGCTAGTTTAAATGGGTGCTTAACACAAATGGAGGGATTATTTGAAAAGGAATTGGGTAACAGTTTTAAAAATCTATTTTTAAGTGTCAAACTGGCCCTCTAAAATGGATTGTTTGATGATATTTAACTGGATTTCCTCTCTCTCCACACAAGCATGAATGACAAACATATTTCAAGCACACTTTGCTGGTAAAGTGGAATCTGAGGCTGGATGAGCATCAGCTCCCCTCATGATGAATAATCTGCCAGTCGGCAGGACTGAGCCGCACACAGAAAGACACACAAAAAGAAACTGGACTGGCTTGTAGGCTGAAACCTGTTACGACTCAGCAGCACGTGGAGATGCAGATCTGAGAGTAAAAGAGGAGGAAGACAACAAACAAGCCGGAAGAACACAATGGTGTGTCATCATCCAGCCGCCTGTCACACAAACCAACACTCACAACTCTGAGATCTCATTACAGACACAACACAACCACCAGGAGGACGCCACAGCCCGACTCTGGGTCTTCCCGCCTCAGATTGGTTCCTTATTGTGGCACAAAAACAGCTGGAAAGAGGCAGAAACACCACAAGAGCTGGAATGTCAGATGTTTCCAAACAAAAGCCAGTTCTGTTTGATGGCTATCGACTTATTTCTGCTTTTTTGAAAGATAATATTTTAAACTCATCATGATTTTAACTCCTTTGAATTGGAAATCTGACGATTTGTCACACATTCCTAAGGTTAGAATGCATGTGAGCCCTTTTTTTTAGAGAAATTACAGGAATTTTAAGGGGTTGAGACACATGAAAAATTAACGTAGAAGAATGTATCGTGGTCACAAGCCGACTGAAATATTTACTGCTGCTTTGTATCAAATTAACTTTACTGTAAATAACCAAATAACTATTTCTAAATGGTGCAATCCCATTTTTAAAGAGTCAAAATGTCCACCATTATGTAATTAGAGCACACACACACAGAATATGAACTCATTTGTCCCATAAGGCCTCGTTTCTGCTCATATACGAGCAGCAAGAACCCAGCAGGACTTTCTGCCATTTTATGAAGCGACTTCTGAACCATTACGTCAAACAAAACCTCTAAATATGAGCACAAACTAAACAGCTAGAACAGGTAGAAGCTGCTGTTTCCACTCAGATGGCCCAAACATGAACCCCATCCCAGGTCTGCTTTGGAAACATCTGCCCTGAAAGGACCACAGACCCTTTTTCTTTGGACTGGAGGCCACACAAAGCAGCATTTGGACCCCATCTAGTCCCCGTCAGGCCTGGCTCATGACCTGTGGGCCATTTTGAGCTCCCCACACACATGAATGAAGATAAAACACTCATTCAGGTTTTCAAACAAGGAGGTAAAAACGGAGAAAGAGCTGGATGGATCAGGAGCCTTTTTTTAATGGCTCCTGTTAGCTGAGAGGCAGAGGACCATCTGGGCCCAGGCGGGAGGGGAGTCCTGCCTGGACCTCCATCTTCCCCCCTCCCGAATGCACCTTGCGTAAGAGCACCGGGTCCTGTGGGGCTCGTGCAGAAGGAGGGGATGATGGAGGCTCTGGGATGTAATTGGCTGTCTGGGAATGCTCGGATCGATGAGGGCCGCGGGACGGTTTTACGCGAACCAAACGCGGATAAAGCCGCAGCTGGTGCTTCGTGCCGGCATTCCTTTCTCTTTCTTTTATTCCAAATGTGTGCGTGCATGAATGGTCAGCGCACACGGAGGCGCACGCGCACGCTGCGTGCTCGCCGGAGCAGGCTGGGAGCCGGAGGCTCTTTGTCCGGAACGCAGGCGCCGATTCATGAGATAAAAAACACCTATAGGTTGATCCATTCGTGCTCGTGGCCGTGCACTGGGTCTCCGTTAGCGGAAGAGCCCCGGCAGCCCCCTCACGACCCACAGAAACCCTCCCACGACCCACCAAAACCCTCCCAGTCTGCTGCCTCTCTCCAGCCCCGGCGCACAAACCACGAGCCGGGCGCCTCGAAAAGGGACTTTTCCATCCAGACTCACACTCGGTCTGTGGAAACGAGCCTGATTAAGCGCGTGTCAGTGCACGCGGAGTCTGGGATCAACACGTTGAAGCTCAGAATAAACACGCCGTAGAGCCCAGTGGGTCCACGTAGCCAGTCCCGGGCTCCCCACGGCTCCAGCCCCCGGTGCCATTCAGCAAAGCCTCTAAATGCATTTCAATCACATCTCGTAAGCCGTCGGTGCCGGTAATGGTCCAACAGGAGGGTAAACAGCCAATCAGGGGAGGTGTCCGGTCGGGAAAACCCCGGCCTGACCGGGTCCGGGCTGAGCTCCGGAGCCGCTTACCTTCACCGAGCAGCAGCCCTCCGACAATCCGAGCACAGCGCGAGGGAGGCCGGCTACGCTGCCGCCGCCGCGCCCCCCCTCCCCCGGACGGGCGGATGGATGGATGGACGGGTGGATGTTTCTCCCTCCTCCTCCTCCTCCTCCACCTCCACTGACGGGGCTGCTGTTCCTAATCTTCCTCTGAACTCAGCCGGACCGGATCCGGTGGATGAGGCTGCGCCGCGGTCCCGGCTGCTAATGGCTGCTCCAGCCCTGCTCAGC